CAGCGACAGACCTGTCCCCACCGGTACTGTACCCCAGTGTTATACAGTGACAGACCTGTCCCCACTGGTACTGTACCCCAGTGTTATACAGTGACAGACCTGTCCCCACCAGTTCTGAGTAAGTCTAGCTATTCCAGCCTTGACCTGTAGAATGTCTAAGAAGACTGTGCAGAGGTGAAATAAGCTCATGTTGTGAAGGTGCTGAGGCAGCCAAATGCAAGAAAAACAAAATTTTCACTGAAGAACAAATGACTGTAATACAGTAAGTGAAACAAAGCCTTTTGGCCTGGTTGACCTTCCACATAGATTCAGTATCAAATATGATGTGACTATAGACAGTGCAGCAAACACTAAGAGCTTGAAATCTCCTCCCATTAGCAGCAAGATCTTTCTTCTCCAGGCTTTGTACAGAACACTGCATTCCCCTGACCACTCGAATACTCTCGTTCCAAAAAAGGTGATCTTAACAAGGATCTCAGAATCACTAACGGGGAGCTGTGTGTGTTTTTCTTAAACCTCGGCATGCCTTGTATCACAAACACATCAAAAATGTAAATCTCCAGTTTGCATGTGGAGCAGGTGAATTGGCCCCGATTCTGCTGAAGGATTTAAAAGACCAATGGCTGTAATGGTGTCCATTCTGCCCACATTAGCTGGGCTACTAACTCAATGCCTCCGGATAGGAGAAGGGAGTTGGGCAGCATTTTGTCCCCTGTCTGGGGACCCTGCTGTTAACACCAGCATCTCAGACGTTGGTACAATCCACAGCAGGATTGGTTGAATACACCACCTAAGATTAGATGGTCCAGGGCAGCAAATGATAGGAACGTGGGCCCCAAGAACACAGGAATTTGCCACACAAAAAAAAGCATGACTCTCACCTTGAGGAGAGAGGGAGACAGAAAGCTGGAGAAATCTAAGCACAAACATGAAAGGATGAGGAAGGGTCACCGGACCTGAACCGTTAACTCTGATTTCTCTCCACAAATGCTGCCAGACTTGCTGAGCATTTCCAGCAATTTCTGCTTTTGTTTCTGATTCACAGCATCCCCAGTTCCTTCAGTTGTTATGAAAGGATGATCATTTGTTCATAACCAACCTGCTCAGAGATGTTATGACACACCTCTAGGGCACGTGGGATTTGAACCCGGCTATCCTGACTCAGAGCTAGGGACACTACCGCTCTGCACATTACTTTGGAAAGGGTTAAGGTTATAGCCACACACTAATCTTGAGAATGTAAATAGCTCTTGCTATCGGGAGTTTTAATTTCTGAGGAATTGTTTGGTGTTTATTTTCCTCGGAAAAAGTGCTTCGCAGAAGCTCTCAGCAAAGCTTTTAAGACTGGAAAAGGAACAGAGACAGAACAATTGCTCCGAGTATGTGGAGTTCCTGCAGCTAATGAATGCCACAGAGTGAAGAGCAGGAACTGAAAAGGCTCAAAGCTGTCATTGATGGACTGAAGGAATCTGTGACAGCCTTGTGGAAATGTAACTGTAAACAGTGCGATGTGTCAGAATATATACTGAAGGGGTGTGCACTGCAGGCAGGGAACAGAGTGTTATACCACCAGTGCTAAAGGGAGAGGGAAAGTGGGGGAGCTGGGTGCAAACACAGCCAAATGAAACTGCAAAGTACAGCGCACAAATCAGCCTGAAACAATAAAACGTCGAGGCAGTTGGCAAAAGAACAGCCACTGCCAGTGTTCCCATTTTAATCTCTATATTTGGACAACAGTGCAGTAAATGAACTCTGTGCTGAAACACTTCATACTGGAAGCAAGTGGCTTACTGTAATCTCTTCCCAGTTTTGGCAAGGAAGGAGCTCGGAGTGTATTATATAAAAGGGGCATCTCCCTCACCCCCCTCAGCTCGTTCACCGACAGTCCACTCCCGATGACCCTCCAAGCTTGTGTCTGCTCTGTAAACGGCCATCTGGAGTCATCTCGATTCACGGTGAGATGGGAGAGCAGATGTCACGGCTGTTCAATGAATATCTAAACAGTCTATTTCGACAAGCAATAAAGTGCCACAAGTTGAAAGGAGATCAGAGGCAGCTGACAGCAGCAATACTGATTCAGAGGCACATCACAGCAATTAGTGTCCTGTAAACCAGTATTCATCATCGTCCTGTTCAAAATCTACACCCCAAGCTGTCTATCCTCAATCCATACACCCAGACAACATGGGGCTAGCTAATGTTATAGAATGTCAACCAAATAACTACTTACTCAGTGAGAGATAGCAGTGGGATATTCTACCATGGAGTGTATCACAAGCAAGTTCATTCCCACCCACAGGCCAAACATACCACTTTGCAGAGAAACATCTTGGCTGGAAAGGCACAGCTCACACACACACACACACACACACAGTCCAGTGGCAACGCACATACACAGCTCACACTCACAGTGCCCAGTGTCTATACACACGCACACGCACAGTCCAGTGGGAAAACACACACACAGCGCCCAGTGTCTACACATACACGCACAAACGGATTACACAATGTGCTGAAAGGGGCGTGTCTGAATGCACATCCAGGCATTTCACCGTGGCACACCCTTAAACAAAGCTCCTATATCATCACCTAGAAAAATATTTCCTTGGTGTTTCCTGGGTCTGTTCAGTTGGAGATATTTCTTTATTTGGTGCATTTATGATTGGACTTTGGAACATGTTCAATATGTAAATAGGATACCCAGGCCAATGCCATTTCCATGGCAACCTCTGGCAGTGTTCCTCCAGCTCTTACCATTTTCCTTCTGGAAGTACAATGCTCCAACTTTAGAAGGGGTACTGTCTTTCAGAGGAGAGGGAATGTCCTCCTCTTTAATCTCAGACCTTTCGATCGATGTTAATGAACTTCTGAAGTTGTGCGGCACCTGATCTAAATGCAAAGCCTCATCCACCTGGTTGGGTGGGTATATTCAATAGGTATGGCCCTGTTTTGAAGAACAGTTTCTAAGAATTTAGAAGAATGAGGGGGGATCTTATAGAAACATATAAAACAATGAAGGGAATAGAAAAAAAATCGAAGCAGAGAGGTTGTTTCCACTGACAGGTGAAACCAGAACTAGGGGACATAGCCGCAAAATAAGGGGGAGCAGATTTAGGACTGAATTGAGGAGAAACTTCTTCTCCCAAAGGGTTGTGAATCTGTGGAATTCCCCGTCCAGTGAAGCTACCTCATTAAATGTTTTTAAGGCAAAGAGTGATAGATTTTTGAACAGTAAAGGAATTAAAGGTTATGGTGAGAGGGTGGGTAAGCGGAGCTGAGTCCATGAAAAGATCAGCCATGATCTCATTGAATGGTGGAACAGTGTCAATGGGCCAGATGGCCTACTCCTGTTTCTTTATGTTCTTATGTAATACAGAGGGACTGTTCCAATGTGCTGACCAGTATTTACCATCCGATCAACATCGCACAGAAGCTGTCTGGTTATTACTAAATTGCTTTTTTGTGGGAGCTTACTGTGTACAAGTTAGCTATTACGCGTCCTGCATTAGAACATCTACTATTGAGTGTGATTCCTCTGACAAAGTGCTTTTTATAAAAGTGATTTGGTCCTTTCTGAGGATGTGAAAAGTGCTCTTTCAACAGAAGGCTTTCTTTCTCTTCAGCCTGAAGGTATAATGAATGAGCCAGTTGGTGTTTGGTTAAATGCATTCTCAGAGAGCCTGACGATGAAGCGTTCCACTCTGAATGAAAGTCAGCTTCACCCGACAGTGAGAAGAGACAGAATCCACAATCTCAAATGACGTCAGTGCAGGAGAGTAAACCTTGAGCAAATTGCTGTGCATTCCCAAACACCCCCTCACAGCCCCAACGTTTGTCTTCAGCCTTGAGATCAAGGCTCCATGAAGCAGTCTCTGTGTATCTGGGACACACTGCTGACTCGGACCAGGGCCTGGGTGTGTGTGTGTGTCTGGGCTGTACCAGCCTGTACACGGCTAGGTGTGACTGAGAGTGTGTGTGCATGCGTGTGAAAGAGTGTGCACGTGACAGTGCGCACGTGCGCATAAGTGAGTGTGTTTGCGCGTGTGACTGTGAGTGAGAGTGAGAGTGAGTACCACACTGTACCACACTGCAGGCCCGTAACTCCAAAAACACGGTTGACAGAAAATCAACTTCCATCATTCTTTGCACAGAATCTTGACTCATTTCTGGAAGTTTCTTCCTCCAGTATATATTTCAAACCCTCTTTCCCACCCGTACTGTGCCATAACCCATCCTCTGATGATTCTCTGTTCTGGTTTTGATGTATGCCAAGTGTTGAGCCAATCTCAAGCTGGGCATCGAAGGCAACAGTGGGTCAATTTGACACAGAAGTGGGTTGAAAAGTGTTCCTGGCACTCAGGCACAGAAATATAGAAAACAGAAGCAGGCCATTCGGCCCTTTGAGCCTGCTCCACCATTCAATATCATCACGGCTAATCATCCAACTCAGTCCCCTGTTCCCTTTTCTCCCACATGCTTTGATCCCTTTAGCCCCAAGAAGCATATCCAACTCCTTTTTGAAAACATTCAATGTTTTGACCTCAACTGCTTTCTGTAGCAGAGAATGCCACAGGCTCATCCCTGTCTGGGTGAAGACATTTCTCATCTCAATCCAAATAACCTACCCCGTATCCTCAGACTGTGACCCCTAGTTCTGGACTCCCCACTCATTAGGAACATCCTTCCTGCATTCCTGTCTAGTAGTGCTGGAATTTTATATATTTTTCTGAGAACCCCCCACTGCCCATTCTTCTCAACTCCAGTGAGTACAGTCCAAGCCGATCAAAGTCTCACTTCCTACGTCAGTCCTGTCATCCCAGGGATCAGCCTAGTAAACCTTTATTGCACTCCCTCCATAACCAGAACATCCCTCCTCAGATAAGGAGGCCACAATACTTCAGCTATGGTGTCACCAAGGCCCTGTACCAATAGCAATATGACATCCCAGCTCCTGTACTTGAATCCTCTTGCTATGAAAACCAACATTACCATTAGCCTTCTGCCTGCTACACCTGTGTGCTTACTTTCAGTGACTGTAGCACCAGGAGTTCTGCCTCATCACGCCTCATCACACCTCCCCCTCTCCCCCATCTACTGCCTTAGGCCAGGTCCATGGTACATGAAGTAGCCCCTGCCTGGGGATAGCTCTCATTATAAGTAATAACTCCTTACCCTGCTAGCCATATCAGTATGAGAAGCTGGAACTGTTAGCTAGGGAGGGAATTCCAGGATTTTAACCCAGCGACACAGAAGGAACAGCAATATGTTTCCAACTCAGGATGGTGAGTGGCTCGGAGGGGAACTTGAAGCTGGTGGTGTTCCCATGTATCTGCTGCTCTCGTCCTTCTAGATGGAAGTGGTTGTGGGTTTGGAAGATGCTGTCTGAGGAGCCTTGGTGAGTTTCTGCAGTGCATCTTGTAGATAGTACACACTGCTGCTACTGAGCGTCGGTGGTGGAGGGAGTGAGTGTTGAAGGAGACGGATATGGCACCAGTCAAGTGGGTTGCTTGGTCTTGGATGGTGTCGGGTTTATGACTGTAGCACCCATCCAGGAAAGCAGGAGATTAGTCCATCCCACTCTTGACTTCAAAAAGCTTTGGCCAGTCACCTCCTCACCACAGAGTATTCAAACTGTAATGAGCTTTACAAAGGACAGCTTCTTCATCATAAAGTATTTTCAGTACACAACTAGTCAGGCAACCAGGTTTGCAATGGCATCGTCATATGGCTATTTACAAACGTGCAAATGTAACCACCTTATAATTTTCACTGTTGACCCTGCCCTTTAACCCATGTCTGTTTACACAGGAGGTGACCGCACTGTTTGTTTTGACAGAATTCACTGGCTCTTGTCCTCCAACTGTGGTCAGTGAACTGAGAAGCCTGCAGAAAACAAGCAAATTGAGCAACATTTTGTCCTTCAAAGTGACAGGGTATGGATTTGTGGCTGTACACTAACCCCAGGCAGTCTTCACCTCTCTGTCACATCACAGCGGAACGTGCCAGCCAGCAAGAGAAAACAAAATTAAAATCAGGGCAGGGGAAGGTACAGGCTGATAGAGAAACCGAGGGGCGCAGAAAAATCATACGAGAACGTTGGGAGTGGGAGAGAGTACAGACACAGAGCAGGGAGGAAAAGAGCAGAGAGAGACGCACAGATCTGATCAAGGTTTTCAAAATCTTCAGTGAGCTGGATAGAACCACACAGCACAGAAACAGACCTTTCGCTCCAACTTGTCCATACTGACCAAGTTTCCCAAACTAAATTATTCCTATTTGCCTGCATTTGGCCCATATCCCTATAAACCTTTCCTATACCTGTACATGTTCAAATGTCTTTTAAATGTTGTAATTATCACTTCCTCTGGCAGCTCATTCCATACACGCACCAACCTCGGTGTGAAAACGTTGCCCCTCAGGTCCCTTTAAAATCTTTCACCTCTCACCTATGAACTCTCCCACCCTGTGGAACAGACCTTTACTATTCACCTTGTCTACACTCCTCATGATTTTATAAACCTCTATAAAGTCACCCCTCAACCTGCTATACTCCGATAATTCAATAAGTAGATTGTTTCCACTCAGAAAAGGGTCTAAATTTAAAGCAATCTGCAAAAGGAGTAACGGTGAAGTGAGGAAAACCTTAAATGATGTTGATATAATGAGCTGGTGTAAGAAACACACAATACACAGCTAAGGAGCCCACCACCAGCCTTCACATCTTAACCCTTTGTTCCATCAAGAACTGGATCTCGGCCTGATCCCTTGTTCAGAAAAATCCGGAAGCTAATCCAGGACGACCCAATCAGGATTAGGGTCAACAACTGGGGTGGTCTCCCACCTCTGCTCCCGGAGGTTCGGATTATGGGATTAGAGAATCACAACAAGTAGGATTTCACAACTGGGGTTGGCCTGTCATTTTCTCAAGCGGTTATCATAGAATCCCTACAGTGTGGAAGCAGGCCACTCGGCCCATACTGACCATCCGATTTAGTGGCTGATCTTAGTCTTAGCTCCAACAGTCCATCTTGGGTCCATGTCCCTAACACCACTGCCTAATACAAATCTGACAAACTCAGCCTTCGCATTTTTACCTCCCTTTGCCAACAGTTATATGGATGAGATTTCCATTATCCTTTCTGTGAAGAGGTACTGCTGAACACTATCGTTTAAAAGGTCCGAATTTAATCCTGTGTCCCTTTGCCTGCATTTCGCTCTCTGTTCTACTGAGACCTTTAACCAGGGCTTCCTAAGGTTTTGGTTCAGGGCCCCAAGTGGAGTTGTGAGATGAAATTGAGAAAGAAGGAACTCCAGGAACTGGGGAGAGGTAGACATATGGAGCAAAAGCCCATGGGAAATCAGGCTTAAACCCCTGCTGTTTCTAATCTCTGTCAACAGGGCAAACATTAAGTAAACGTAAGCTACTCGGAGGGATAGAAAGCAATGAAGATAAAAATGGAGCAAGTGATTTGCAGGAGGATTTAAATCAGTTATGTGATTGGCAAAGCAAATGATGCATTTAATTCAACACTGAGAAATGGAAAGCTCTACGAACATCATTTGACAAACTTTGCATCAGAAGTGTGCAAAGAATAGAACTGAATTGGCAAAGAGCGACTTAGAAAGGTGAGGGAGAGTATCTGTAGATGCCGTCGTTTCAAAGTCAGTGTGGCTCAGCAATTTAAAATGCTCATAGAATGTGGAGAGAAGCTAGGTACAACAGTACAAATTGTTCAAGGTTTGTTAGATTTCTTTTAAACACAGCGCTATGGTTTGAATACATTTGGAGCATTCAGCTCAGGCCCAAGCCACATGTTACCACACAAGAGAGGCTACAAAGAGGAGGAATAAGTTTGATCTCCGTTAAATTTCATCTCCAGGTCTATGCTCCGCAAAGTAGGCACTTGTCAGGGCATTTCAATGACTAACAATGTTACAGAATCTCTCAAGCTGTTACTCATCATTGTGATTAAGGCCAACGTAACCTTCAACTGTATTCAGATTGTGGATTCCAGCTTGCGAGACGTGAACAGAGAATCTATTCGGATCGACTGGTGCGGTGCTGAGACAGTGTTGCACTGTTGAAGAGCCATCCTTTGAATGAGGTTTTTAAACAGTGACCTGGTCTGCCCTCTCAGGTGAAGGCAAACAATAGATTGGCTCCATTTCAAAGAAGAACTGTGTCCTGGGGCAACATTCAATTGAATGTCAATAAACCATGTGGTCTGCCCATTTTCACACTGCTGCTTGTGGGAGCTTTCTGTGTAAAAACTAGCTGCTGCATTTTCTACGTTACAGCAGGGTCTACATTTTGAGAGACACCTCATAGGCTGGAAAGCATTTGGAACATCCTGAGTTGGTGAAAGCCCCTTATAAACATGAGCTTCTGCTGGAAGCAATCATTTCACCCACAAGCCCTTTGGTTCTCAGCTGGCGCAATCGTTAATCAAAACTCTAACATCGCCAGAGGACCACTGCGGACGATGAAGATATTGAAGGATCAGCTGATGACGTGTGGAGACTGAAAGGTTCTGGCCTTTAAATATTTGCTCGTGGTTTTAATCAATGTTGTTCTGAAGTGGCATCTGGGAAGCGTCTGAGAGAAATGAAGTGTCCTCCCTACATTCTGGCTCAGCAAAAAGGACAAGAAGCTGGGTCAGTGCCACACTCTTTCCCCACCCTGGAAAGTTCCTCATTACCCTCCAAGAAACAGATCTGGCTTAAACCAGGTCAAATTAAACTCTTTTTTTTTATTATTGACTTCAATCGTCTGCAGTCAGGATGTGGTTCACCAAATGCTCATTTTAATATAAACAAGTGGTCAATTGTTTGGTGAAGATTGGGGAGTGGGTAGCTTCATAGCCTCTTGTCCTCACCCACTGCCCGTACATTCCAGGAATCAGGAGCGTGAGCCTTGACCAATTTCTTCACCTCGGTCTAGCCCAGGGCTGCAGCAGGGGGGGCGTTGTCGATGCTCCCCTCCCTTATCACCGTCTCGCTGAAGAGCAGCATAGACAATTGATCTTCATGGCTCAGTGGCTTACCAGCAGTCAGGAGATTCCAATGCATCCAGATCTCACCTCAGTCACAGCCAGGGACCGCACTCAGTTACTGACTACCCTTTCAACATGCACATCCCTTAAGGACAGTGGCTACTGTGGACAACTTCCTTCCCAGCTAAAAAACATCAAGCCGGTTTTCAAAAAAGCCTGCTTTATTTTTTTTTTATTCTTTAATTGGATGAGGGCGTCGCTGACCAGGCAGCATTTATTGCCCATTCCTAATTTGCCGCTGTGGGTCTGGGGTCACATGACCAGGTAAGGATACCAGCTTCCCTCCCTAAAGGACATTAGTGAACCAGATGGGTTTTTCCTGACAATTGATTCATAGTCATCATTAGACTCTTAATTCCAGATTTTTTTTATTGAATTCAAATTCCACCATCTGCCGTGGGATTCGAACCCGAGTCCACAGAACATTATCTGGGTCTCTGCATTAACAGTCCAGTGATAATACCACTAGGCCATTGCCTCCCGATGTCCTTCAGATCTAAAGAACAGTCATATTGGACTCGGAACGTTATCTGTTTCTCTCTCCATTGATGTGCCAGACCTCCTGAGATTCTCCAGCATTATTTTCTTTTAATTTCAGATCTCCTGTGTCTGCAATGTTCCTGTTTTATGTTTATGGACCCTTGGTTTTTGTCTGCCACATGACTGGAAACACTTCCCCCACCTCAACCCCATTAAAACCCAACTTCATTTTAAAGACCTTTTCGAGTTCCCTCTTGGTCTTTTAGGGAAAAGAGCTCCACACCTGCTGAGTCTTCTCTGATGCTTCTGCAGTTTGCTGCTTTATAAGGGACATCCCAAAATATGTTTGTTCAGCCTGTTATTAGAAAGTATGCAGAGATCAGAACAGATCAAGGGTTTCCAGCCACTCAATCCAGTTCTGTCAAATCATGGCTGATCTCTACCTTAACTCCATAAGACCATAGTAAGACAACAGAGCAGGAATAGTCCATTCAACCCATCAATTCTGCCATTCAATGATGATTTGATAATCAATACAATATAATGCAGTACAGCAACAGGCCCTTCAACCCACTAAAGCCTGTGCCAATTGCTAATACTTATTCAGATCCGCTACTTACTGCCCATGCGCAGTTTCTATCCCAGTTTCTATTCATGTGTCTATGAAGATACACCTTAGTCATTGCTAATATGCCTGCTTCCACCACCTCCACTGGCAGTACGTTCCAGGCACCCACCACCCTCTGTGTGCAAAATTTTCCCCGCACTTCTCCCCTAAACTTTCCCCCGCTCACCTTGAAACTGTGCCCTCTTGTAGGTGACCTATCCACCCAAGGAAAAAGCCTCTGACTATCCACCTTATCTATGCCTCTCATAATTTTGTAGACCTCTCTCAGGTCTTGCCCCTCAGCTTCAGTGGTAAAGTGAAAACAGTCCATGTTTATCCAACCGCTCCTCATAACTAAACCCTCCAAGCCCAGGCAATATCCTGGTAAACGTCTACATCCTCTCCAAAGCATCCACGTCCTTCTGGTACTGTGGCGACCAGAACCGATGGCCAAATCCTCATTATCACGTTCCTGACATCATCCCCTTATTTTGATTCCCTTACTGATTGAAAATCTGTCCTTCTCAGCCTTGAACATACTTGACGACCCAGCAGCAACAGTGCTGTGCATTCAAGAATTCCACAGATCCACTACTGTCTCAGAGAGAAAATAAAATCCTTATCATTGTCTTTTTGAATTCATTCATGGGATGTCAGCATTGCTGGCTAGGGCACCATTTATAGCCTGTCCCTAATTGCCCAAAGGGCTGTTAAATATCAACCGCATCACTGTGAGTTGAGTCACGTAGAGTCCCACACCAGTGAAGCATGTCAAATTTTCCTTCCCCATTAGTGAAACAGATGGTTCCAGAATCTTAAATATCTTCCCAGAGGGAAAAAAAAGAAAGGGTTACCAACATCAGCTTTGTAACATCCAACTGACCCCCAGGTCCAGCAGCTACTTTTTTTTTGTTGTTGGCTGACACTTCCTCAGCTTTGAAAAGCAGAAAATTAATTGAATCTAACCTTCTGTCCAGGATCAATGCAGATCAGCAACCCAGTGTCAAAGGATTTAAAATCACAACAGAACGAAGACCAGCCCAAAAGACAACCTTCTTTCTCACAGGATTAATCCAACGCAGAAAATCAAAAGAAAAATTAAAACGTGTAAACTCTCCGAGCCAGCATCTTCCCCATAATAGATGTGGCCGATAGTCCCTGCTTTTAATCCTTGACACAATCTGCAATTTAAATGAGATAGGCTGAGGAAAAGGCTATGGCATATGGCATTGTGGATAAGACACAATCAAATCTGGACCGGCCGATTCCCCTCAAACCAACAGATCAGGAAGAGAACAGGTCATACAAGATCGGGCAGAACAGTATACAGATGTCACCCTCCAACCCCTTTCCCCTATGCCTTTATGTCGACAAGCCTGTGAAAGTGCTTTAGACTCTACACCTCCTGTACAAATTCGGTGTCATGTTATAGGAACAGATGTAGCCCACAGGGCCCAATAGCCTGCTGAACCTTTTACCAAACGTGGACATCAACTCCATTTTCTCCACTGCAATCCACAATTCCAAATACCTATGATTCGATTGCCTCACAGCACCAGGAACCCAGGTTCGATTCCATCTCGGGTGATTGTCTGTGTAGAGTTTGCACATTCTCCCCGTGTCTGTGTGGGTTTCCTCCCACAGTCCAAAGATGTGCAGTTAGCTGGATTGGCCACGATAAATTGTCCATAGTGTTCAGGGGTGTGTAGATTAGGTGGATTAGCCATGGGAAATGCAGGGTTATGGGGAGAGGGTAGGAAGGCTGGGTCTGCTTGGAATGCTCTTCGGAGGGTGGGTGAAGACTCAATGGGCCGAAAGGTCTTTTTCCACACTGTAGGGATTCTATAAATCTCAGTTTTGAATGTAATCATCAACTAAGCATCCATAGCCTCTGGGGTCAAAGATTCCAAGGACCTAACAACCTTTTCAATGAATCATTTCTTTTAACGTCAGTTCAAAATAATCAACCCCTACATCCCTCGTCGAGACTCTTCAGCCAGAGAAAACAGTGCAGAAAGAGGCCATTTGGCCCCTTGAGTCTGCACCCAGCCTCCAAAGTGCAACCCATGCAGACCCAACCCTCCTACCCCATCCCCTGAATTTCCCATGGCTAATCCACCTAACTTGCACATCCTTAGACACTATGGGTAATTTAGCATGGCCAATCCACCCTAACCTGCACATCTTTGGACTGTGGGAGAAAACCGGAGCACCCGGAGGAAACCCACGCAGACACGGGGAGAATGTGCAAACTCCACACAGTCACCCGAGGGTGGTATCGAACCTAGTCCTTGGCGCTGTGAGGTAGCAGTGCTAACCACTGAGCCACCGTGCTCCTTGACAACCTCTCTACATTTTAACAAAATATATCTGAACTGGTTGATTAAAAATATATATAAAGGCATTCTGTATGATTGGAACCGAATGTCAGCTGTTATTCAGTATCACACTTTTGCCTCTAGGTCAGTACATTGTGGTATCGAATTTCACTGCACAGGGATTGAATGTATAATCTAGGCTGACGCTCCAGTGCAGTACTGAGGGGATGCTGAAATGTCAGAGGTGCCTTCTTTCAAGCAAAATATTAACCCAAGGTCCTATCTGTGCATCCTCAAGCAACTATTAGAGGGATTATCGGCTTATTATCACATTGTTGTTCATGAGACATATGTGTGGTCACATTTCAAATGTATCTCACTTGGTGCTTCAGACAATCTGAAATCAATCTTTTTAAATACAACAGAGACAACAAGTTGTAGAGCTGGATGAACACAGCAGGCCAAGCAGCATCAGAGGAGCAGGAAGGCTGACGTTTCGGGCCTAGACACAACTCTTGCTTCTTAAGCCCCTACTAATGGGGACTCTGAATTACTGTTCACTCTGAATGGGCAGAAAAGAAAGGGTCAGACACGTATTAAG